CAGGCAGGGAGGGATTCAAAGAATCTTCTGGCAAGCTTCAGAAGAAAGACCCCGAAACACTGACGCTGGGGTTGCCCCTGTGAGTAGCTGCTCTCTCTCAATGGTCTCATCCTTGCGTGGGGAGCCCCCAGACACTCTCCAGCTGCCCCTGCAAACTTGAGGAGTCGGTCCGGACCAAAGTCAGCGGAGAAGAGCCTCTAACACAAAAACTGGAGTTCAGAGAAGTGGTGAAAAAGTGGAGGAAGCAGATACTAATGAGGGAGATGAAACTATTACAAGAAAAAAAAATCCTTTAGTATTTTCAACGATTTAGAGAAGATATTTCATTCTTGAAACAAGAAAAAAATGCCCTTGGCAATGAAATCTGAGATCAGAAAATAAAAACATTTAGCAAAAGGCTTTGAAGAGGCTATCAAGATCGACTCTACAGTAGAGAGAAAGGCAGAGATATGGGAGGAGAGTAAAGCTAAGAACATCGGAGAACCAATTCTTGAGGTCCAGGATTTAAACAGGAGTTGCAGAAAAGAGAAGGGAAAAATATACATAAAACAAATTAAAGAAGTAATCTCAGGAAAATTTCCAGCACTGAAGGGTTTGAGTTTCTAGATTGAAATGGTCCACGAAATCCCCAACAGATATCCCCAAATCATTTCACTTGGGCAAAGAAGTTTCTACAGAGTTACAGAGGGGAGAACAGAGACTTCAGACTTTTCAGCACTAACAACCAGAAGACATGGGTGCCTTCGACACTCTGGAAAAGACACTTTCCAACTCAGACCCCTGCAAATGGACAAACTGTGACTCAGTTGTGATAACACAGCATATTTAGGCATGCGCTGCCCAGTGGCTTTCCTTCATCTTTCTTGGGAAGCTACTGGAGGATGTTCTTTACTCAACGCCCTGTGAGCTAAGAGATAGAGTAAGAAAGTCTGCAGGAAAACAGGGAGCCCAGTGCCAGGGAGGAAAGAAAGGTGCTTCCTACTGATGGTAAGGGGGAGCTCAAAAAGAGAGCGGAGGGTTGGTTCAGATGGGACCTGGGAGAAACCCGGGGTAGCTCCCCACGAGGAAGCGAACTGCTCCGTGGGCATGTTTGGGCTTAGACAAGGAAGGAGAGTCTGGGTGGTGTATTTGCTCTACCTGCGTTTCTATGTCCATACGTAGACAATTACTCGTTCTGGAAAAGTATGAGTAAGGAATTATATTGGTTTCTTTAAAAGGCACATGACTTAGGGCCCTC